ACATCTCACCAGAAAAGACAATATTCAGAATAGCCAGTATCCCTATTAATATAAATGTCGTGAATATATTCTTTATACTGTTGGAAAGTTGGCAATGAGTAGGTCAAGAATGCACAGTGTCAGCCTGAGTGTCAGGATATTCCAGACAGAATCTGGTGTTAAAGTCAACATATTGCTAAGATCTAAAACAAGCTGTAGTTCCATGGATAATGGTGTTATGAAGACATTCTTTATACCATTGGAAATTTAGTATTAGGTAGGTCTAGGATGTAAAACCTCAACTTAGATATTGGAGTATTCAGGATGTAATCTGGTGTCAAAGTCAGTGTATTGTCAAAATTTGCCAGAAAAGACAACTTTCATAACAGCCTATATTTCCACCAATATAGATAGCAGAAATAAATTCTTTATACCCTTAGAAAGCTGGCATTAAGTAGGTCTAGGATGCAAAATATCAGCCTATGTGATGTGATATTCAGGACAGATTATGATATCAAAGTCAGCACTTTGCCAGAGTACAAAACAAGCTGTAGTTCTATGGATAATAATGTTAAGAAAACATTCTGTATACCATTGGAAAGCTGGCATCGAGTAGGTTAAGGGCATAATATATCAGCTTAGGTATCAGAGTATTCAGGATATAATCTGGTATCAAAGTCAGTCAGTGTATAGTTAAAACCTCGATAGAAAAGACAATTTTCATAACAGCCTGTATCTCTACCAATATCAATACTGAGAGCACATTATTTATACTATTAGAAATTGGTTGTTGAGTAGGTCTAGGATGCAAAGTATTAGCTTGTGTGTATTTGAATATTCAGGATGGAATCTAATATCAAAGTTAGCATTTCGCCAGCATACAAAATAGCCTGTAACCTCATAGAAACTCACAGTAGACAGATATTCATTGATATAATGGAAAGCCAAAATTGAGTAGAATGTTGTTTTAAATCACTAGAATTGATGGTATAGGGACTGTTAAGCAATAGTAGTTAATAGAGCTGTTGTTGATGTTCTGACTGTGGTGTTATGTGATTGTTCACATGTTAACCACATTCAAGTTGCAGTCTTAGAGAAAGCTTAACAAAATACCTAAGTCACTACCCGCCCCAATAATTACAACTATTATTTACTTTTACATTCTACTAGTTGGCTATTTGGCTTCCAGATTCTTCAAGAGACTAAAATAGAATTTGGTACTTCATATGGCTTACAACTATTATTATGATTAGGACTCTCTGCCATCTTGTATCAGGATATCAGCAAGGATCAAGGTTGATCAGGCCAGATTGGAAGGTGAAAATTAGCACATTCTTGCTTAGGATGAACTCTGGACAGGTTGGATGCAACAGGATACTCTGGATGCCTAGGATGCAACCAGACAATTAGGATACCCAGGATACATAAGACGTCAGTAACTAAACATTTACATTAGGATGTACAGCTGACACATCTGACGCAGTGTTATTTTTTTGCTGATGTACTCAAATAGAACTTACTAGAGAGAGAACTAATAATAGATCAAATTTAGTACTAGAGCCACCAGTAACACAAGTACCTTGGTGAAGACGAGCAAAAAAGAGAAAAAGAATAGGAGATACTGGATCAAGTATGTCTACTGTACATGGAAAAAACAGAAGTAAAGCTCCTCCACAATGTTCTAGCTATCACAAAGTTGGTCATTATGCTTAGATATGCTAACGATCCCATGTTTAGTTCTTGCCTTTATATATTAATATAATATATTTAACAGGGAATATTCAGTAGGGAGGTGTTCAATCAAACTTTTTTCCTAGGAGATATTTTGTAAAATTCAGTTTCACAGAGAGATATTCTGTCAAATAACTGTTATTTATTTCTATTTTTCTATATACATGTTAAAAGAATTTAAGAGAGAATTGGAAGATAAATGGACAGAGAAAAGTTAAAAATATATCAGTTAGGAGTACTGGGATCTGATATCTAGAAACCACTCTAAGTAGGGTAACACCACTTAAAATTGAAATTTCTGGTCTCCAACACCCCACTCCAGCCCCCTTATAGAGCCTACATATCATCATACATATCAATCTTTATTGTGTCCCGTGACTGTAGTATCACAGAATTGAAGATGTCAGAACAAGACCATGTATGTCACTGCTATCCATTCGATGAGATCCTGTTCACAGAATATATGTGAGGGGACTTTTGGCTAGGTCTGAGAAGTAGAATAGAGTAAATCTGTCAACTACTCAGAGAGTTACTAGGCTTCATAGATGAAACATTGTTGACATAAGCTGTAAGTAATGGGATATTTTTGCACAAAGATGAGATAATGAATGTTAGAAGATCTCCACGAAGAGCCAATACATTCTCATTTACCACACAATAATTAGAAGAGTCCAGAACCTTAAGGAATACTACTAAAGAAGCCAATGGACTTAACGGAATGTTACAACTAGGTCTATGGATGTGTCGTAGTTGTGGAAATTATCTCCAATACTGAACAATAATCAATATCCATTAACCTAAGATAATGAGGAGTTTCAGACTGAGGGATTATCTAGAAATTCAGTAGCATGGCTTCCTGCTAATTAGTAGAAAGTCATCTGGAGGATATCTGTTAATTGGATTACGAGTTATGGAGGTTTAAAGTTGGCAACTTAGAAAGGTTGTATTTATGACTACTCTTACAGACATGATCCTCTGATGAAACTGATTATTTTATTGATAGGTGAGACAATTGGAGCCAACATAGTTTAACTTAAGAACTAGGCTATAAGTCTAATAACTCTGAAGATTAGATAATTACTATTAGAAACAGTACAGTTCCCAATTGACAAAATAGTAATTACTTAAGAGGATGTAGTCTGTGAATACTCAGATATAGAATATAAATATTGAAGTGCCTTCCGAGTTCTTAGATATCATTAAGCAATAGCGAAGAGACCTTAACAATATAATATGATTTATATGATTCAATCTTACTTTACCTTTCCTCACATTACTCCTAATAGTCATAAACAAAACGAGTACCTATTTGAGCCTTCTTAGACAAATCTCCTTCTATGAAAATGAATCTTAATTGACTTAGACAATTCTGAGTTTATATAGATCGTCTCTATCTAACATTATTACAGACTATACTGGCTGTAAATTAATCTATTTGTTTTCCTGGATTGTAGTAAGAATAAAAACTGAATTACTTAATCTAATACTATTAGGTGAAGATAACCTGACAAATTTCAGAGTTGTCTAAGCCAATAAAGATTCATTTCTGTTATATAGAGATTGTCTAGGAAGGTTTGTAACTACTAAGAGTGAAGCAAAGTAGTTAAAGTAGAATAGAATCATAAAGATAATATTATATTATTAAGGTCCCTTTTCTGTTGCTTGATGATGTCTAAAAGCTTGAGAGGTACTTCGATATTTATATTCCATGTCTGAGTATTCATGAACTACATCAATTTAATATACAACTATGTACCTCTCTTGCTATAACTCACAACGTTGGGTATTCTTCAAAGGTGCGAACACATACAAATCCTGAAAACCACCACACCATCTTTGGTAATTATAATATTACTAACTGTAAATCATACCGTTTCTAATAGTAATTATCTGATCATCAGAGTCTTTAGACTTATGGCCTAGTTTTCAAGTTGAACTGAGTTGGTCTCAATTGTCTCCGTCATTGATGAAATGATCAGTTTCATTTGCGGGTTATATCTACAGAGGTAGTCGTAATTGCAACCTTCCTGGTTGCCCAACTTTAAACCTCAATAACTCCATATTCAATCAACACATTTCTTCTGGAGAACTTCCTACTAATTTGCAGGAAGCTATTCTATCAGATTGACTGATGATCCCTTAGTTGGTAATCCTTAGTTGCTATGGATGACTCTGTGAAGTCGTGGATGCAACCTTCTTAGATTGCTGACTTCGAAGCTCAATATCTCCTGACCCAACTGATGGATTCTTATCCAGTAACTTCTTTCATATAAAGGAGAAGCACTTCTATAGGATAGAATTATAACCGTTCTGTTGGAGGTTCTTGGTTATAGTGCAGAGATCTTTGCAGTTACAAGTCGCATTGATAGAAAATAGCTCAATATCAGAAACAACTTTAATGATAACAGGAGTTGAACACATGACCTTTGGTGAAGAGTCACATAATATTCCAATTGAACTATATAACTGAGATTGATATGTATAATGACATGTGGGCCTCTTGAGGGGGCTGGAAGGGGGTATTGGAGACTGGAGATTCCAATTCCAAGTGGGGTTACCCTACTTAGGGTGGTTCCTAGGTATCGGATCCCGGTATTCCTAACAAATATCTCATACTTTGTTAGTAGGATATGTAAAAACAAATTTTACCATAGGAACATTACATTGAGAATAGCTAATATAGAACCAACCAACATGATAATTGAGATAGAATATGTTATCTTGCTAAAAAAAAAAATTATTTTTTATTTTTTACTTTTTTGACATTGATTATTACTGAGAATATTACGCGACCAAGATTACAGGCTGTGGCATCTAGGACATTGAGTCTGGCGGTCGTCACGAATGTGCTAATAAACCAGACCCCCAAATAAGGATGTCGCCAGGAATGTTATTTGAGAAGCTGTTACGGCAATAATTGATATATTGGTAATAGTGGTGGTATTACCAATTGCATTGCTGGTCCGGAATGTCTGTGGCGGCTTCTGAATGAAGGCTGTTATGGAATGGATAAGAAATCCGGATGGCTGTGCTGGATTTGCATATTTGGATATAATATATCCTTTTACATTGCTATTCTTATTTAGATAATATAGCAGCATGGATGACGGAATAACACCCAAAATATAATGGTTGACTTTGGTTTTAAAGGAAAGTCATTAGGCGCGAGTGACACTCTGTGATGAGTGAAGGAAAAAAACTGAGTTGATTTTCACACTAGACTCCCATATACAAGCAGTACTCACTTACAGACTACAAGACGAAATAAGGGTTGGTCTACGGCGCTTGTCTCTTGGGATCAACGGTTTCTTTTAATTTTGTTGTCTGGTGTGGTCCTTCGGGTTTCTTGCTAATTGCGTCTCCCCGCTCACCACGTAATACCTACTCAGAATTAATAGAGGCACGTTACGTCGGGCTGTGGGCATGTCCTTACTGCGTGGGGAGCGTCACCGTTGTCGGAGCCTTCTTGTTTTCCGCTCCTCTTGTCGGTGCTGGGTGCATCTTTCATTCCCGTGGCTGGAGGATCAACTTGTGAGGGTGTCTTTGATGGGTTTTGCTTCTTTTTTAGGTTGGATAGAGTTTCCGATGACTAGACAAAGAATTAATACATTCCCACTGTACGGGGGCTTCAAGGATCAGGATACTTTAGAATCACCGTCAGTTTTTTCTGCCTTCCTTCTCTCGTCAACTGGTTCTTTTGGGGTATCAGCGCCCTCTCGGCCCCGACTGTCATCCAAATCCTTCTCCCCGTCTTGGTCAGGCTTTCCAGAAACTTCCTGGCTGCCCTTGTCATCCTCATGAGTCCTGTTTTTGGATCCCTCTGTCGTAGGTTCAGGTACTTCACCAGCCTCCTCTTTTACATAAGCGGTCTTGTCAGTAGCACTCATGATGCTTGTTTCCGCTCGGTCTTTCGCGCCTCCGTACAATTCACCAGCCTTCTCTCCTATCTCGCCAAGCCTCTCATTGGCCTGCTCGCGGGTATCCTCAGCTGCTAAAGAAACAGACTCGGCTGCGTGATCCATCTGCGAATTGGCGGTTTCTCCACCGGACAAAGCGCCTCCTTTGTCTTCCAGAGTAGAGGTACTAGAGTGGTGACCGGAGGCATGATAGTCGGACTTCTTTGCCGGAGAAGAGTAGAGAAGATATAGGGCCTAGTACATGGGGGTTCAGCGAAATTCCTAGTATTCGAAATTTTGGGGAGGGAAATTACACTTGGAACAGTCACAGCGATAGATACAACAAGCCATGCCGTGTCGCTGCTCTTCTTCCCATGGTTCGCGTGGCCAGCAGAAGCGTTGCTGCCTCCCTGAACAGAGTTTTGGGTCATTTTCCGAGTAAATTGTCTTGACGGGACGACAACACTCCGGCTAGCGAGAATAGCCCGGAGGACAGGGGTAGAGGACCGTAACATTGACGCGTTTCGTGAGGGGACTTGTAGAGGCAAATAGTGAATGCAATTGGATCGAGAGAAGTTGAATTTTAGAGGGTAGCGCAAAGGGAGAACGGTATCTGGTGGATGGTGGACCAGGGGGATAGCACGATGAAGCTAGATAGAGCAGGGGGAGGAAAACAATTTCGCTCACCCACTGCCAGAGGCCCGAAGGGACAATGAGGTCACTCTGTCGAAGTTATCATATCCGAGAAATAACCGCTAGGATCCAAAAGGAAATACTAGCTCTCTTGGCATTTTGAGCCTCTCTGCTTGGCAACCGAATTTTTGACCCCTCAATTCGGATCTACTCAATTCAGCACAAATCATTCCAGTCGGGCGTGAGAGACCTGTAGCCTGTTCTCCCCACAATTTCATCGAGTCAACAGAACAAAACTCATCCACCTCCTATCTCACAACCGAAATCTTACCCAACATAATCTCCAGCGGGTGAATTCTTTTTCACTTTATCACCACCTATACCTTTCTCTGACCCATCAACTCTCCTAGCTCAAAATAGCAAATATGGCGAACGCTTCAACCCCATTCGCCCTCCAGTCCTTACTGGAGAAGATGTCTTCTCCAGATTCCGATTACCGTTTCATGTCTTTAAACGACTTGCTTTCGATTCTCACTAGTCCGAATGCTAGTTTGACACAAGCTGATAGCAACCTTACAAGCAGAGTCATTGATGGAGTTGTTAAGGCACTTGACGATGCAAACGGCGAAGTACAGAATTTAGCAGTTAAATGGTATGTTAATCACCAGAGCTATCCCCCGAGCTCTGACAACAAATTTAAGGTTGATCTCGTGCCTGTTTCCCCGACGCACTGCCGGTCAATAACTAAGAGTTACGCTAAAACTTAACCACCTCTTTAGTCTTGGGCCATTGGTCTTGAAAGTTCGGGATAATCAAATCGCTCCCCTCATCGACCGTCTAACGACTCTCTCTATGACCTCTACGGATCCCTCGATTCCTTCTACCGCTCTGAGAACTATAATTTCAAGTCTTCCACGTCCCGTGGCCGTTTCTTCGGCCACACCCGGTTCACCGGTATTGGTTCAGAAACCTGATGCCATCCACCAAACCATTGCCGCTGCTGTGCAAGCCATCCAGAAAACACTTTATCCCAAACTCCTGATTCTGCTGAAACCCGGCACGGAGACCGTTAAGGGTGGTGGTGCCAGCCTTGACAGTATCGATCTATTGATTGAGACACTCAAATGTTTTGGCCCCGTTCTTGGCGGAAAGGAGGTTGAGCAGCTTCAGGTTGCTGTCATGGAACTATTGGAAAGTGATAGAACAAGCCAAGTCGTTAAAAAGCGAGCTGTGACTTCTCTGAGTTTACTTTGCGTTTACTCTCCGGATGAGTTGCTGTCCAGTTTTATTAATCATTTGATCGAGTCCTTCCGAGCACAGGGCAAACATGTTAACCCAACACGTCTTCGTTTGCTCGTTTCGGTGACAGGGGCCTTAGCAAGGGACATTCCAGATAGATTCGGCCCTTACCTTAAAACATTATGCCCATTTATTCTCTCCGTAGTCGATGGGAAGGATATTCAAGACCGAGAACTTGGCGATGAACCGGAGATGGAAATGGACGAGGTTCGTGAAGCGGCGCTTGTCAGTCTGGAAAGCTTTATGAGCTTCTGCACAAGCAACATGACAAGGTTTACTGAAGATGTTTTGAATGCTGGGATGATTTACCTGAAATATGATCCCAATTATGCCGACCCCGCTGATGAGGAAGATGACGAGGAGATGGGCGGAACACAACAATATGATGGCGATGAGGACGATGACTTTGGGGGCAGCGATGATGAAGATGCGTTTGAAGAGGACGGTAACTTTTCGGATGAAGATGATATTAGCTGGAAGGTTAGACGATGCGCGGCAAAGCTACTTTCAACAGTTCTATCAACTAGAGCCACAGACCTAATTCTTGGAGAGCAAGAAGGAGGTGGCAAAGCGTACAAACAAGTTGCACCGCTACTTGTTGAGCGCTTCCACGAACGTGAGGAGAATGTGAGGTTGGAGGTCCTTGCAACTGCTACGGTATTGGTGAGGAAGACAGGAGAGGTTGCGCAGGGAACATTTACGCCATCAACTCCTTCCAGGGACAGACGCGGAAGCATGGACATAGTTATGGGGCCCCCGCCGAAGAGGAGACGTGGTTCAGACGCCTCAATGCTTGATTCCACCGCCTATGATGCCCCCAAACAGAGCTCCGACGAGAATGGTGTGAAGAATAGCCTACAAGCTTTGATGCCAAGGCTTAGCAAATCTCTAAGCAAGCTTTTGAAAACTAAGAGCACAACCTTACCCACAAAGCAAGCAAGTGTTACCCTCTTGTCCACGATTGTGTCAGTATTGGAAGGTGGTCTAGATGGCGTGCTTGGGCTTTTTATTGAGCCGCTAGTCGATGCCACTCGGGGTGGCAGTGCTGTTTCCGGCAGTAACGTCGTCGCCGCCACGGCCGCCGGAGGAAGCGCGGCTACTGCCACAGGCTCTTCGCTACGTATTGAGGTTTTGAGGTTGGTCGGTAAAATCTGCGAAAACCACCCAGCACAAGTTGTTGGGGAACATTTTGACACCCTTATACCAGCAATGATAACTGCAGTCGGGGAGCCAGCCTATAAGATTTCCTCGGAGGCCCTTAACACCGTGGTTTCGATCGTTAGACTTCTCACCGCAGAAGGCTCTACAGGATATAGTGAATACCTGAAGGGTTTGTATGATGTTATCGTTGCAAAGGTCGGGAATGGAGATGCCGACCTCGAAGTAAGAGAGAGGGCCATCGCCGCACTGGGAGTCCTACTTTCTAGGACATCTGGACAGCCAGATCTGATCGGGCCCAATCGAAGGGCTGCGGCTTTGGGCATGCTAGTGGAGCGCGCCAAGAACGAGACTACCCGCATCACCGCTGTTAGAGCTATCGAGGTTATAGCGAGGAATGCTAAAACTACGGGTGATGTGACTCCTGACTGGGTCAAAACTGTTGTTGTGGAGTGCGGTATTCAGCTCCGAAAGGCCAATAGAACCCTCCGTGGAGCTAGCCTGGACGCATTACGGAGTATTTCCGCTAATGAGAACTGTCGGAAGGCAATGGATCCGCAGAGCAAACGGGATCTAGTAGATGTTCTTACTACATTATTGCCAGCTGGAGATATGCATCTCCTCGCTCCAACATTGACTATCATCAGGTGGATGATGATTGACGGTGACGGAGTTTATGTCACTCCTGGTATTAACGAGGGGGTTTGTGGGCTCGTACGAAACAACCTTGGGTCTGGCCTAGTGGTGGAAAGCCTACTTGGGTTGGTAAAAGCTATTGGAGAAAACGACCCCGTAGGTAAAAAGACCGTGATGAATGGTCTCTTGCAAGATGTTGGAGTAAATGGGGAGACTAGCATTGTGGCCAAGGTTGTTGCGCAATTACTTGTTAGTGGTGGTGGAAAACGAGGCGGATTTGCCATAGGTGTTGAGGAGTTCGTGGGTGAAGTGGTTAAAACTACGGATGATAAGAGAAAATGTTTGGCGTTAATGGTGCTTGGAGAGATTGGTCTCAGAATGTGAGTTATCTGCCGCAAGTTGGGGTTACCCAATTTTCTAACAAAAAATAGGGGCCCTTCATTCTCTGTTGGACCGGAAACTTTTCTTCAGCAATTCCATGCAAAGAGCGATGATGTTCCGATCGCGGCTGCCGTAGCCTTGGGCCTTGCTAGTGCTGGGAATGTTCAAGGCTATTTACCTGTGATTATGCAGAGGCTCGGAGGTGGAGACAAAGACCAATATCTACTACTTCACTCGTTAAAAGAAATTATCCAGCACTCTGATGACACTACTGCAAATATCAAACCTTATGCGGATCAAATCTGGAAAGCTCTCTTCTCCATGGCGAAGAATGACGACAGCAAAGCTGTAGGAGCGGAGTGCGTCGGCCGTCTCACTATCATTGACCCCTACAGCTACCTACCGGAGTTACAGAAACACCTCCAATCCGAAAGCAGCGCGATACGTGGAATGGTTATTTCAGCACTCCGATATACTTTTACCGATACCGAGGCCTCATATGATGATCTCCTAAGACCGATTGTTGTAGACTTCCTCACAGTCATGGTCGATGATAAGGAACTTGAAAACCGCAGGCTTGCCTTAACGGCATTAAACTCCGCAGCTCATAACAAGCCCCACCTGATAGGCCAACATCTGCAGAGTCTATTACCACTTGTGTACAGAGAAACAGTCGTTCGCCCAGAGCTAGTCAGAGAAGTCCAAATGGGTCCTTTCAAGCACAAAGTTGATGACGGCCTTGAAGTTAGAAAGGCATTTCACCGCCCCCTCCTCACTACAGCTGCATCACTAACATGAATAGAGCGCCTATGAAACCCTCTACGCCCTCCTAGAAACCTCCTTTTCAGGAATCGAAATCCAGACATACTTCGACCGTGTCATTGCCGGTCTCCAAGACGAACATGACATCCGAGTTCTCTGCAATCTAATGCTAACAAAACTCATCCTCCTCGCTAAGGGTGAAACCCTCCGGCGGCTTGACTCGATTGCCGAGTGCTTCAAGACAACCCTGAACCAAAAACCTAAGGATAATGCAGTGAAGCAAGAACTCGAAAAGCACGCGGAGAGCATTCGGAGCACCATGCGTGCAACCGTCGCGCTTAATCGCACTGCCATCGGTGCGGGCGTTAGCGGGAAGGCTGGCTGGAGCGGGTACTGGGAGTGGGCGAAGGCCGTCTTTCCTAACGAATTGCAGGTTCTCGAGGGAGATGAACGGGCCGAGTAAGTCAGTATCAAGTAGGGAAAGACCTTGTCGAAGGAGGGAGGAGGGGAGAAATGGAAAATGTATCATCATTTGATGTCACTCGTTTCCTGTTATCCTTGAGTACACGAAGTTCCCTTTTTCTTAGCTTATTTTCCCTAGTTTTTCCCCTTTTTATTGCTATGATAGCGAACGATAATGTTATAAAATACATACCCCCCCTTTTTTTGATACCACGCACAGGAATTGGTCGTGTAAACGTAGCCGCGGTAACCATCGAGCTCGCAAAATCAAACGCTAGTCTTGCCCCCTGGGCTCGTTGTGTCACACCAAATCCCCCCATTCTATCCATCCATCCTAGAGCCATCAGTCTGATGCTCCCACGCGATAGGTTAAGCCAACCGCCCTATTATGCCACTTTATTCTATAATACCATAATCCGTCGATCCCACATTGATCCCACAACACGATCCAGTACAAAAACACTATTCCGAGCCCGCCGCACCCAAATCAAGACACCATACTGAAAACACTACCGCACGGTGCTCTACTCTTTCGCGGTTTATTATATATCTAACTATTCAATCGACGGAGGGCTGTGGGTTGTGTAATATCTTTGTAGTGCGCCAGTTTCGTGTATGGGGGAAAAGGAATACGTGATTAGTAAGTAGCTTTCTGTTTTCTTTTGTTAGCTAGTAACGCTGACTTCACATGTGCTTCCACCAGTAATGCGGAGGGAAGGGGGCTGGGTATTACCGGTACGTACTTTTGGTTAGTCTATGCTTCGTGAAGGAGAGAAAAAATGGGATATGGCATTAGTAGTTTATTTAAAGTGCTAGTTACATATTATTTATGATACAAGGTGACTTACAATAGAGCACAGCTATCTAAAGGTTTTTTCTATGCACCAGAATATATCGCTATTGCTCTACCCTAACCAATTTCTCTTTTCCCAATTCCCTCACTAATAAATTAATTAAATCCTCTCCTCAGCCTTCCAGACCCCAACCTTCTCACTGAGTATCGAAATCCGCTCGATATGTCCCTTCTTCACCTTCCTCTTCTCAACCTTGCCCGTCTCCGGATCCACGCCATCGACCCAGCTAGGCGTCCGGTCAATAACCCACGCCCACTTAGTACCAAAGCCAAAGATTTCCATCAATGATTCCCCTCCCTGGGCGACTTGGCGTTCTGATTCCTCCCGATGTGCAAGCAGTTCATCGTACTCCTCCGCGTGGGATGATAGGTCCGTCGTCAAGAGTTGAAAGACGCGAATGCGTGTCAAAAGCAGGATTAGTATCTCTATAAATTTCTGTTTTTACAAAAGGGAATGGCGGCCGGGTATTGATCTGTCAGTTTACCCTTTTACGTTATATGGGGGGGCTTGTAGTTTACGAACCCATTCGGATTTTGGTATCCGCAAGGACACCTCCTCAAGACCTTTGCAAGAGCGAACCAGTTTTGAGGCGCAGCGTCTCTCGACTGGCTGGCTGGTGCTTAGACGGAGGTTGCGGATTGTAGAGCCGTGGAAGTTTATAATCGCGTCGAGGAAGGGCTCAACAGCCTCCTCTTCTATCACGCTGGTTGATGGAAGGATGTATAACTCTTCCAGGCCAGCGAAGGAGGAGAGGAAGCTTATCCAATGTTTCCCCACATCGTTTATCCGAAGGCTCTTTAGCTTCAAGCGCCTCACTCTGGGTTTAGGGCTCTGCCTCGTGACGCCTCCATCTCCTCCCGATAAAGCACTTGCGGGTGATCCAGAGTTGGCGACTTTCTGTTCTTCAGCACACAATATCTCGTCCCATGACGATGACTCCCCAACACTACAGTCAAGTAGTGAAAGTTTTTGAAGCTCCACCAAATCCAAACACTGATGTATTGGTATATCTAGTACCACATTGCTTATATGGAGTTCCTTAAGAACTCGGGGACTTTTGGCGGGTCTTTGTTCTGGGAAGATGACGCTTAACCTAGTCGAGATCCTCCAAGACACTTTGAAAATTTGGAGTGCCGGCATTGAAGACATACCCCAATTGTATGTTGTTCGGGAACCGAGGCCTGTTAGGTGTATACTCTTCAGATTTCTAAAGATTATCGGAGGCGCAAACGAAGGTGGGGGAGGGGGATGAAGTGAGAGTGGATGTATTATTCTCAGGCCCTTCAATTTCGGGTGTCTAGATAGCGCTTCATAAAGGATAGGATGCATCATTGATTCTGAATTCCATCTACCGTTAATCCATCATCACCCACATTAGCCTAAGTGCTGCGCAAGCGTGTTGACACTGTTAAGGAGTGACGGCACGTACAGGAATTCTTCCAGCGTATTCATTCCGGAGATTATCCCCACCACCGCGACAGCCCACACCCCACGATCTTCACCTCGCCGGTCCTGACCTGATGGCTTCTCACTGATAACCTCCAAACGTCGCACACAGGCTGCAATACCGGGCTTGAGCAATGCCCCCATCTGCGCCAAGGTGATGGAAGGCTTTCTCTCCTCATGTCTACAAATGAGAACCACGTTCTTATAGAGCAAAGGGACAGTTAGGAAGTGGTGAATTCGACTGCTTCGACTAACACGGGCAAGGTCTGCCGGTGATTCGATCTATTCACCACTCTCAAAGTAAGCCTTGTTCCCAAACCCAAACTAGTAATCGAATTTCTACCCGGGAGATGATGCTAGAAACAATGTCCAGTGGTAGTTGAGGTCTCCCAGAGCTCCGTCCCGGTTCAGGATTCATGAGAAAGTCAAACATTTTTCTCGTCTTTTGGTTTGCGCTTGTTCGTTCGTGGCTCCTTTTGTCAACAGTAAATAAATAGTATAGGTTGTGGGTGAAATGTTGACAACGGGTATTTATCCCTCCGATTTTGTGTAACAATAGGGACAGGCCATCCCTTGGAATGATTTAAGCTTCTTTCGCCCTTTTGGATCACGGGCGATAACTACCAGGGCCGCTAATCTGAGGGCCTTTCTCACCTACGTATCATACGGCACCAGCACTTTGGCACTTTGCCGTGTTGTAATTGATTCGTCCTCAGTGATATCAAGAAAGCTGAAAAGAATGTCTGTATCATATATCCGTCCGAACAGTCATGATTTTCCGCGATCCAGAGAGATTAGATCAGTATCCACAGCACTGTAATGGTACCGTACTAGTACTTGTATGATAAGAAGTTATCCTTGCAAGTCACAAAAGAGTGACTCATCTCGTGGGTGAAGGGCAAGGGGGGCACGAAGCCTCTCTGCCCCTGAATTTTGATGTCTCAGACATCAGCATAATCTCCAACTTCCGCTCCTTTCCCATTGAGGTTATGAGAAGGCGACACGGGTAGTCACTCGCCTACATCATCTTCAATACTTGTAAACAATGTTAGCTACCTGTATCATCAAAAAATATCCACCCATTTCGTTTTCTCTCGACAGAATAGCTCCAGAAGAGCCTGCCCTAAAAATTTCGTCGGCCTAAAATTTTGACATGTTCGAAGGACATTTCAGTATGGTAAGAGAAAAAGGCAATACAGGGTATAACGTTTGGGTCTGATATGATAGTACTTGTACTGTACTTGTATCACAATTGAGACCCTAATGGTGGGCTAAACATCCTGGCTCTGAGCTTGGTATGATAGAGCGTGGGAAGTGATCCTAGTAATAAATGACGACAAGTGATTTGGATCGCGTGGGAATTACACATAGAACCACCTAGAACACGGTGTCGGATTATCAATTCAAAAAATGATGTTGGCGATCCCTCAATGGTAAATATTTATTCCTGGAGAATTATTTAAGCCTCCAGTCAAGAAATCAATAGTGGGGTCGGTATTGAATAAAGTGAGTATCCTGCAGAGGACTAGCGGCAGTTTTTCTATCACTTTCTGTCGACTCATATCCACCCGCAAGGGAAGAGTCATAGTGCAGTCAAACCCGGTCACCTCTGCTTATAACGTTTTTCGTTCGCTCAACACGGCTCAAAAATTGCACATCATTCCAAACACCGACAAAACCCGGGCACTCGTATTGGTAGAAGCGGGTCAGTATCTTGGTTCTCACCGGCGGTGCTGCGACGGCGAAGCTCGCAGCATTGCCGGGCGGCTACGGAACTCCGAAATACAGCAGCACGTGTAACATTGAAAATTGAAAATTGATCCAATCGATCACCCAATGTACAAGTATGTGTGGTGGAGTGCATAATGAAGGAAACTGAGGAAAAATAAATGGAACTTACTTTTGCTCATATTCCTCACCCAGTTCTGCAATCAATGAACCCATTGGTCTATCGGGCTTTCGAACCCCCTGCACCAGACTCATTCAGCAACCCCTTATATTGCCCACCGCGTGTGCCGGATGTCTAGCATGAGGGGTTAATGCTACTTGTGTTACTTCCTCCAGAGAAAACACAATTTCATTCCCGTTTAGGATAAGAGATAGTGCACTTCTACCACGGCTAGAAACACTTTGTAGGTGGAGGGGTTTCACGATGTACAGTACCGTATCTAGGGATGGGATATCGACCATACCTTACCCAAACCTTACCCCTAGACCCTTCGTGTAATCGAGTACTCCAGTGTTTCTGATGACTTGAGTGATATCATATCATAGACGCGGAGCCTTCACAGCTTGGGCTCACGTCCATGCCTGCACGTGCTTGGGTACAAGTGCGAGTGAGAAAAACATGTGTGGTATGATACCCGAAAATGCACTCCAAATGGTATGCCAGAAGTACCGGTACTCAAGCACTCGATGTGCGATTCAGCCCTACGATCCCCAATTCTTCCACCGAATCCCAAAACTCATAGACCGAAGAACTAGAGAAAACTCTGGAAAGTAACACCTTGTTTAATTTCGTAGGTATGGTTCTATTAATCGTTGCCATCTTTAGGAGTAAAAGTTCCTGAATAAGGGTATCAGCCCCCCTTCCATACCAAGATAATAATATAATGCACTTCTTATAGAATCGGGAAACTACGCTCGATTAGTTAAGGGACCTCTGCGGTTGCCACTACGGCGTCCCCAAAGAGGCAGTGGGTTCTCGAGATGATTCAACACATGTGCATCGGAGGAAACGGTCAATATTTTTTTGTCTTAATATTTAAACACTGTGGAGCAATCGATTCAGATTGAGCGCTTTTCTTCTCTCCCTAGTTGGGGTATACAGAAAAGCAATTCGAACCAAATCTTCATCCAGATGCGAAACAATCACCTGGATCCCACTTCTAACCCTTTAGAATTCTGTATCCAAACTGGCTGAGGAATTTTCAAGAGAGCTGTGGCCAATAACTTGTATTGGTCAGGGCGAATTTCTGACGATTTTGTATGGGATGTGGTCTGGTTTGGCTCTTTTTAAACCTCAACTTAAAATGTAGCATTGCCGGGGTGGCGGGGAATTTTTTTGGTAATTGGTGGGCGGTCGGGGAGATGTTTGAAAGGATTTTGTTTTTTTACATCTATAGGATGAATCGAACTGAGGTTGTGAAATAACATGATTCGGCCTATTACATGCCATTCTATCCAACATTTTTGGCACCAATCTGGCACAACCCTCCCTGAGCCCGGGTCATTAGTAGACGACCATTCTGTGAGCTTCAGATGCCAGCTCCTGACAGCGAGCCAGGGGTCATGTGCAGCACAAATATCAAATACTGCACGCACAGGTGTGGGGGAATTCAAGTACTTGTTAATAATGCTAGAGAACCTCATTCAACACATAGTAAAAGTGCCATATATACCTCCTCTCAAAGTGCTCATGAGAGATCAACTTCAAGTCGGAACTCTATGCCTAAGCACTAGGGGGGGCAATGCAAAGTCCAACTCCGACGGAATTTCTAACGCTATTTAGGTAGAGGCAAGATTAGGAAATCGGAATGCACCTCAAGACTCAGATTCATAGGAGTATAGGACTGTATCCGCTAATCAAATACCAAAAATCCTACTTTTAGCGCCGAGCAGATTCTGATACTAATATCATACCTCCAAACGAGGAGCAAAAGATATGGAATATCAATACCAATAATTTCTCTTGAACAAACAGCCTCTGCTAGACACCTTCTATCGTAGCCTCTAATAAAATACAATCTCAACCTACATTAAGGTTACCGTAGTTTATTCATAAAGCTTGAGCTCCATCGAAAGGTCATTACTGAATGTTCAGTCAGATATCAGCGTGAGGAAAAATTCGTTGACCCCCCCGGTATTTTAATGTAACCTGGCCGCCAAGTCAACTATTATAGATCTTGGATGCAAACTCTTTTGAGCACCTACGAGTAGGTCCTTTTTGCCTTAACTGACACCTAGGTCCGCAGGCGCAAACTCTCTATTGAGTTAAATCTGCCTAGTCGACAGAATAGAATAAAAATTCACTAGCAGTCCCACCCTACAGAGGACGAATGGCTACGACTTTTCGCCCTCTACCAGCCCCCATGCCTTGCTGCCAAAAACAACTTGGCTTCCAGTCCTTCCATACGATTCACCAGGCTAACCCTATGGGCATGAATAAAGTCCACACCGAGAATATTGATGTCAACAAAATGAGAGCACCGGGGTGCGCGGGACACACTGAATTGTCGTCCAGCAATCCAGACATTCACCGCCGCGTCCTCGCGAATGGCTGGGATGCCAAAGAGGTCACTAGTCTAAGTTTTTCGTAGTTACTTAGATGCTATTATTTCCATTCAGGAACCTTGAAACTTTGCCTTAGCGGAGAGATAGGTCTTGGGTGAGCCTGTGTCTACAAGAATGATGACCCAACAGGCTTTGCCGGAGTGATTAGTCACTACTTCCGGAAACATCATGCGTAGGCTCCTTCCATAAAAAAGGCAGTTGGCAACCTGCACCATCGTACCGTATTCGCTTCTTTCTCACTCGCGGGAAAATGGTACGAGATGCCTGCGATATCAGCCATTTCATGTTTAAGCTGGTTGACAACTATATCGCTAATCAGGACATCAAAGTCCTTCGGATAAAAACTACCGATATCATGGATATCCACGAATTCCGCACTCCTCTTAGCCTCGAACGCAGAGTTCTGAGCGCAAGTCGCTGGTCCATCGACCTGTGAAGCCGATCGATGGTCTACTAGTTCCTCATTCTATGGGCTACCGGAATACGCTTCTACCATGGTCTTTGAACTCGTCTCCTATCTATCCGACCTGGATTTATGTACCTCCGCTTCCTCTTCCGCAACGGAACGAGTCCGGAATCTCCCCCTTCTGAGTTCCTGCTCTTTGGCCAAGGAGGGCAGGACGCACTCATGCCCTATAGCGAACCCTCTGGATTCATGGATAAAATAGTCACTGACAACTTGGACCAATGGTGTCAGGTCTGCGATTCAGAAGAGGATACATGTCAGGCGAGGTACATGTACATCGACGTCCAGCCAGTGGGGCGCCTGGGCATGAAGCCAGAGCTTGCAGGTGGTGTTGGTGCGCTCTGTGCGCTTGCTGCAGTGGGAATTGTTGCAGCTACAATGATGACGATTATAATTATAAAAATATATGGGGGAATATAAAGAGAGAGAACGAGATGGTAGGGAAGCGTGCTGGACAATTGACCTGGTTCGTATATTTTCTTTGAAGGCCTACTGTTCTAACTATGCGCAGGAACGGTGTCCTTTAAATACATGAGAGCTCGACAACCACTCCACTGATCTTTTCGTCCTGATCACACCACATCTACTAAGCCTCACAAGATGTCCGATAAGTAACCGTTGTATACGCAGCGGTGAAAAACAACAGATTTTTGGGTTTTAGGTTCACTAAGAGGGAGAAGAAGGCCGATGAGGCGAAGAGTTGTGCCAGCGCTGAGGAGAGTATGGCAACATGACGTACGCAAGTGAGCAGAATCTGGTTATTATAAAACAATAATGAGAGTGTACATATACTAGCAGCCTCCCCTCGAGACCTCGGGTGGAGGGAAGTCTAACAACTGGTGTCTAATTGTTCATATTTATTTCTACCCCACCTCCCCGCTCAACCACTATCCATATCCCCCCCTCCAGCACTCACTCACCACTCACCACCCCCAACCCCCCCCCTCCTTCCTCACTCCCCTCTCCCCTCTCCTTCCTCACTCCCCCCTCCCGCCTCCCTCCTACCGTCTCCCCACCCCCTCCACCCATCCCCCCCTCCCCTCTCCCCTCTCTGCCTCTCCCACCATCCCTACACCAACCTGGCATGCACAGCTTTTTTGTATGATAAGAATAGAAAAAATCCCGATACTGTATCATACAGTACATGTCAGGAAGGCACTGGTGAGGTGGCGATCCGTTGCTTCACGGGGTATGATAGATGATGATCTGATTAGATCGGACACGAAGTCATTATCTATTATATAAAAGAATACGATGAGGAAATGCACTATCACATGATCAAACATGCCAAGACATGTATTATGCCAAGCAAAGTGACAGGTACTCTTAAATCAACATGAATATTCTGATGTTACAGAACATGGTTGCCTCAAGTACAGATATCATAACAAGGGTTGTGGTCCTGCTAATATAATAGAGGTAGAAGTAGGACTGTGTGCAGGTAAGGACTTGGGCAGGACCTAAGGTATTTCCTTTTCAAGAACAGACAGAAGTGG